ACCCACACACCCACGCCCACACCCACCCATACCCACACACCCACGCCCACACCCACACCCACACCCTTCAGATGATTTTCAATGATCTTCAGAATGCCTATTCGGATGTCCAATACTGCACATATGAAGCCATCTGGAAGCTCGGTGAAAGACCAGCAACGACTGAAATAATTGCTGTTTTGTTGAATGCAATTCATCATCGAGTTGCGAATGTTCGAGAAAAGGCATGTGAAGCTCTTCGTGAGATAGGGGAAAATGCTGCAACCGACGAGGCGATCGCTGCTTTGATGAATGCACTTCAAGATGAAAATTGGAATGTTAGATATCGGGCACGTGAAGTTTTCGGAAATATGGGTGAAAAAGTAACAATCAATGAAGTGGTTTCTGCTCTCTTGAATGTACTCAATTATGAAAATTCAAATGTCCGAAGATGTTCATGTGAAGTCATAGGGAAGCTAGGTGAAAAAGTAGCATCGGATCGGGTAATTGCTGCTCTGCTGAATGCACTTCATGATGACGAGTTCAGTGTCCGATGCACTGCATATAAAGTCTTCGGGGCGGTAGGTGTAAAAGCAGCAACGAAAGAAGTGATTACTGCTTTGCTGACTGCGTTGCAAGATGAAGAATGGGGTATTCAAAGTAATGCATATGATTCCCTGAGAGAGATAGCTGAAAAAGCAGCAACAAATGAGTTGGCCGATGCTCTGATCAAAATACTGCATGAAGGAAATCGCTTTGCTCGGGAGTACTCATGTGAAATCCTGGCGAAGGTGGTTGGAAAAGTAGCAACCAATGAAATAATCAATGCGCTGGTGAATGCACTTCGGGATAAAGAAATAAATGCGCGGACAGCTCTGATGGAAATGGGTGAAGGAGTTGTAACCAATGAGTTGATTGGTGCCCTGCTAAATGTTCTCCAAGATGCAGATTCTGGCGTTCGAACACACGCGTGTGAAATCCTAGGTAAGCTACATGAAAAAATAACAGCGGGTGAGGTGATTACTGCTCTATCAAAGGCTCTTCGAGATGACAATAGTAATGTCAGATATGCCGCGTGTGAAGCTCTCATGTACATGGGTGAGAAAGCAGCAACACATGATGTTATAGTTGCACTTGTGGATACACTCCAGGATAAAGATTCAGGTATCCGATGGAGAGCATGTTTCGGCCTCGGGAAGATGCATGAAAAAGCGGCAACCAATGAGGTGATTACTGCTCTGCTAAAGGCACTTCGAGATGAAGATTGGAATGTTCGAAGCAATGCTTGTACATCACTGGGAAAGATAGACAAAAAAGCAGCAACAGATGAAATGATCAGTGCTCTGTTGAATGCACTGTATGAAGATGATTACTTTGTCTCACAAAGTGCATCTAAAGCTCTCGAGAAGATGCATGTAAAAGCAACAAAGAATGACATAATAGCTGCGACTCTAAATGTACTTGACGATAGTGACCCTGGTATTCGAGGGCGTGCTTGTCAAGCCCTCGGCAAGATGAGTGATAAAGCCGGAACGAATAAGGTCATTGCTGCTTTGCTGAATGCAATTCAGGACAAAGATTCGAAAGTCCGAAGATACGCGTGTGAAGCCTTGGGGAAGTTAGGTGAAAAGGCAGCAACTAATGAGGTGATCATAGCTCTAATAAATGTACTTCAAGATGGAGACTGGTCTGTCCAAGAATACGCGTATGAAGCCATTGGTAGGCTAGGTGGAAAAACAGCAACGGAGCAGGTAATCACTGTTCTGCTGAAGGCAGTTCGAAGTGATAGTAGCAATGTTCGAAGATATGCATGTAAAGCCTTGGGATACATGGGCGAAAAAGCAGCGACGAATGAGGTGATCGATGCTCTGTTGAATGTACTGAAAGATAAATATTCTTATCTCCAATCTGAAGTGTTTGAAGATCTTGGGATGATGGGTGAGAAGGCAGCGACGGATGCGGTGATCGCGAATCTTTTGAATGCACTCGGTGTAAAAGATTCGTTTAGCCGAGGGTACGTGTGTGAAGCCCTTGGGAAGATGGGTGAAAAAGCAACAACAGAGGAAGTATTCAGTGCTCTCGTAAATGCACTTCGAAGTCGAGGCTCGTTATGCAGAAAATATGCGTATGAAGCTCTGTGGAAATTGAGTGAAAAAACAACCACGAAGAAAGTGATTGCTGCTCTGGTGGACGCATATATGCCTGAGAGAGGATTCTGGAATGAGGAAGTTCATGAGACTTTCAAGCGTGCTATCTGTTCGTATGATGGAATGAAAGAGTTAGAGTCAGACATAGTGTCAAGATTATTTTTATGTCTCAATAGGTGGTATAAAGATTGGTGGACGGCGATGTCTTCGGATCACTTGTTCAAGATTTTCTTGGATTCAAAAAATGTTATTTGGATCCCATTTGTCGTCCATTATGCATTATATCAAGGAATTGCTGTGATAGTTGTTGGTAACACTCTTCGAATCTATGATACTGATGGATTATTAGAGATACATGCGTCCGATTCTGAATTGAACAGTTTAATAGAAGCTTTTATACGTCAAAAGGCAGAACTCCAAGCCGAGTCAATGGCAGTGAAAAGAAACCCAAAGGAAACAACGTAGTCGCGATTCGTTGGTCAAGTTGATTGGTATCATTATGATGGTAATTTCATGCACATGACCTTTACATCTACTAATTGTGTTGGAATATGGTTTATTTCGTTTCAACCAATTGTTTTTTGTTTATATAAGTTTTATTTTTCTAAAATTTACGAAGTTTTTGACGAGGACTTCGGATTTTAATACTGTGATGTTAAGAGTGAGTATGCGCATATAGAGTATGTAAAAAATCAAGTGATTTCATGTGCTGCATATGGTACATTTGAAGGAAAGTGTTTGAGTGAGTAGAGTGAATCAATATTTGGGTGTGGGCGTGCGTTAAGTCAACAACTATACCCACACCCATATGATGGCGTTCTGACAAAGAGGAAAAAAACGGCGTCTGTCGCATTGTGGCCAATATTCTATTCGCATACAAAATCCCCACACTTACATCTTTCGCACAAAGGCCGGAATAAAAAACTCGAGTGAATCCTGATGAATATCCTCAATGAGACTATTCTACCACATGAAGCATCATTGCTGAGTAACATTTTGAAAGAAAAAATAAATATAAATGAATTGTATTTATTTCTTTTAGCAGGTTATTGTATGATTCATATCAAATAGATAACGTACGCTTTAAAGTTTCAAGATTTACAATAATAAGATGGAATTTTTTTTCATCGGCATAAACAATAAGCTAGAGAAATAATCATAAAAAAACTAGTATAAGTCCAAAGAATGAACATAGAACTTTTAGGATCAACAAACCATTTTGGTATAGCAAAACCTAAACATAGTTCTCTCCGTCCCTCAGGATTTCCATAGTTTCTTCAATTTTCTTTTGCTTCTTCATCAGTTAATGTTTTATAGACTTTAACTATTTCTTTAAACTTTTTGGGATCTCCACCATGATCTGGGTGATGTTGTTTACTTAATTCACGATAGATTGGCAATTGATGATACACGATAAACAACGATAAATAAGACAATCCATGCTAAGATTAAACCAATTTTAGTTAGTATTGCTTACTGTTTTTGATTAAATTCATTTACTTGTAATGATCGATGTTCATTATGATCTGAAGTAACTTTCAAAATATTTATGAGATGTGGTACAGTTTTCTTTTCTTCTCTCTCACACCACAAACAACATGTTATCATCATAAGAATAAATACAACAAAAGGCAGAATAAAATGAAATAACTTTTCTCCATTCAAGTCATATTCCAATTTCATTTTTGCTATGACGGTTGCAAGCTTCGTTTAATAATGTTTCTATTCGTGATTTGTAAAAAGAGTCGACTCCGACCTATGTGAGGCACGGTCTGTATGTCGATGAAAGTAGAAATGAAAGAGAAAAGTATTAAGACACACCAGATGTCATCATCTACAGAATTCTTCAAAAACATTGTTTGTTACAATTCGTCAAGAGGTATATAATTCATTCTGATGGAGTAAATGCTGCGATGATGAAATCGTCATGTAAATATATGATGTCATATGATGGTTTATCAATGAGTAAACGTTCTCTGTAATTAGCTCTCTGTTCAGAACCAGACTGAAAAATCTTTTTTTTTGTGTCCATTACAATGATTGGGGTGTGGATGTCAGTCTGGGCGTGGGCGAATATGAAGAGAAACACTAAGCTCACAATCACACCCACACCCACACCCTTTTTATCAAATCTTTCGTGTTAGATAAAGCATGTCAACTGTGGATGTTTGTAAATATTCAAACATACAGAATATCGTGGACAAGGAAAATGACAATAGATAATCCTTCAAAGGATTCACTTTATGCTCACTCTTTCGATTAACTTCCATCTACACTCACCCTCACCTTCATCCCACCTTCAAAAATAATATTTGTTAATTTTACTTATTGTACAGGATGTGGGTGTGGGTGTAGCAAGAGAGAATAGTAACACCCACACTCTTAACACTAAAACTAAATCAATCTGAATCTCTCATTAAATCAACGAAAAGAAACGCACATTTCATAAATGAGACCTTTCTCTCCTCGCGTTCTGTTCCCATTTGTAATCGACTTAGAGATAGTAAGCCACCTGATCAGATTGTCTAAGCAACAGTCAAAATGCGCCGTGGTAGCTTCTACACATCCTATAAATGAAAGATATTAAGTGATATAAAGGTAAAGTCAGAAATATTGAAATCATCTTATGTGAAAAAAATATCGTTTTCATAAGGCTTAAATTTTGAGCATGTTGAAAGTAAGAAGTACAACTGCTAGCAAAGTGGTTGCGTGAAAATTATAGAGCTTTTCACGCTACATCGTATGGTGTTTTTTTAGATACAGGATATTAAGTGAATGAAAACTGAAACACAGAATACGACCATTCATCCTGACACACCTACTAAATATAACTAAAGGGATTCATCAGTAACAATAACAGTAATTGTATTTGTTTCACACTCATCATTTTGTTGTTGTTCATTTGTAATACGTAGACGAAGATCATTATATATCTGTTCAATATGTTTCTTTAACATAACATCTTGTGTATCTGAACTTTGTGCAACCTATATGAAAGAAAAATGAAGTATAACAAGCAAAAGTAAGAGGAAAAAATTATTTACAGATGCATAAAGATTCTTCAATTTATCAAGGCATTTATGAAGATTATTGACAACATGCTGAACAGCAGATATTCGATCATCATTGATGATTTAATCATTAAAACCATTAATGAATGCATGTATAGTTATATTAAATAAGCGAAAGTCTTGTTTTAAAATTTTATTTTCAAACATTTACTTATGTTCCACACCGTTGATTTTTAGATCAACTGAAGATGATGATGTAGTTTTCTGTTCTGGTTGCATTTTTTGCAAGTCTGATGTCGATAGATTTTGTTGGACTTCAATTTTTGTCGAATTTTTATTATTATCAGTTAATGTACTTGTTTGTAGATCATTTGTTGTTTCTGATACATTGAAGTTTTCATTCAAGCCTATACTCGATAAATGGAAATCTTGTGTCAATTGAGGCATCTGATCATTTGTTTTATTGTCCAGTTCATGTGATGGTAAATGAGATTTTTCCGATGATGGTTTTACATGAGAGATTGTTATATTATGAGATGTTTCCGGCTCTGATTGTTGCATATTTGTAGCAGACAGAGTAAGATTTTGAAATGAACGAGAGTTTTTCAGAGTTTTACTTGTTGGCATTGTACGAGTCTCTGTTTTAGTAGCTGATGCAACATGACGTATTTGAGAACCCATGGTTGGAGATGATGACGATGAAGGTTTTGGTTCGAAATCAGATATTAGCGATTTTACTGATGACGATCTGCCTTCAAGAACTTTTTTGATGGAACTCGATGTATGTGCTGCATATGATGATACAGAGGAGTAGAACGATGATGTTAGTTTTCTACATCCTGTAATGCTCTTCAGCGAAGTGATGGGTGAGCTAAGACGACGTGCGGATTGTGTTCTATTCTCTAGGTTATAATAAATTCAATTAATTGGTGGATCCGAAAGTTTTTAGACAAATTACTAATTTTGTTTTCATTCATTCGTAAGTGCTCTATATGAGTGCAAAAAATGCGTTCATTAAGAAATTCTGTGTTCTGTTCTACTAATGACAAGTGGAAGCATCTTAGAGGGGTTCTTAAAGTTGCCTTTGACGGTAATACCTCTAGTATGTTTTGCTATTTTTCATTCTTTAAATTTAAAAACTTTTAACATCGAAACATTGATTGATATATCAGATTATGGAGCGAATTTCGTCAAACGGAATGTATTACTATTTTAATTTCTCTTTATTACCAATGAACCTTTAAAAAATTTCTTTTCATACTATTCTCTGTTTTGTAAAATCGATTTTCCGACTGATATTCACGTCATATAAAAATAACTTCGCAGGAATGTCTTATAGTTTTACTTCAATAAGATATAGATTAGAGTTTTGCGTCAAACCTCACCGGTCACTATCAGCTCTACAGAACTATTATATGCGGCTTCTGTAATGACATTCGCGTCGGACTCTATTAGGCTAGAAGGTACCTATGTATTTGCCAATCAAGTCAATATTCCGCTTCCTTTAAAGATTCTCAATAGAACACTTTCGGATAGGTAAACTATAAGCAAATCTCTTATGATCGACATCTTCTTCAGATACAGTCATAATAGTTTTTCGTCGTTTCCCCGATATGCTTTTGATGTATTTCTGATCTTCTCTTGACACTATTTATGCACCATGTATTTTCTTTTCGATTCATAAACGTTGTATGCTTCGATTTCTTCAGATTTTACCGGCTGTTTCAACATCACATATATATATATACTATTCTCTTGGTTATAAAGAAAGGTAGAAAACAGAAGGGTATGCGTAAGGAATAAAGAGAAGTGAGACAGATCGACTAATAGATATTAAGGTGATAAGGTGTAATATAAATAAAATAATACATTAAAATTAAAAACAGTTAAAATCTTTTTTATTTTCAATAACGTGTGATATTTCGGTATCTATTCACACATTTATATCAGATCTATTATGACGCAATATAGTGTGTGTAAGATAATGTATTCACACATTGTAAAATAAGTAAATTAACTCATTAAACAAAAAAATAAATGAATCAACTTATAATGAACACATCCATCTTACACACAGTATATTAGATTATAATAAATCTGATATGTGTGAATAGTTCATGTTGGTAGTCTTTTTGTCTGACGATGGTGTCTGTGAATAGATACCGAAATATCACATGTTATTGAAAATAAAAAAGATTTTAGCTGTTTTTAATTTTAATGTACTATTTTATTTATATTACATAATTATCCATTTACTTTATCTATAAGGTGTAAGGTTAGAAGGATACAGGAGAGTAAGGCTACTAGAGAACAAGAGTATAAGGTTTACCTATTTATATAATGTGAAGTTTCTGATTGTCTATTATCGTGTCACAGTTAAAGCAGAGATGTGAAAATTTACAAAAAAAACCAGCCGTACAGTATGCACGGGGTCTCACTAGTATGCTTATGTTTTTCATATATCTTGAGAAAAATTTTCTCATTGTTTTGTATATCAGTTTGTCTCAGATTTTTTCAATCATCAAGACGTCTTTAGTTTTACTAAGGAACATTAGATACAATGGTGAAGCAAAGTTGTTCAAGGACATATTCGATAATTCTAAAAATAGAAGAAGATAACTGTGTGCTATAATGTGGCATGTTATCCCCAGAAGAGCGATTCTGGAAATGAATAATTATTGAGAACTTATTCAAGTGCTTGTAAATACTTTTTTTTCTATTGATCTAGAATAACTTAGCTGCATTACTAGGGATGAATATCTCTGCAATTTCAACTTAGCAACGATTAGATACTTACTAAAAGTATTTGTACTTGTTGACGATTTAGACGGCACTCTGTTCATTTGCGTGTTATTGACTGTTTCAGACAGTTCATTTTTGCTTGTTTTGGTAAGTATAGGACCTTGTTCTTGGGTTGTGTCTACTAGTGTTGATAGTTTATCAGGTGTTCTTTGAAAAAAAAATTAGATGATTTCTTTTTTCCTCTATTTCACTCCTTACGTCATTTGTATTGATAGGGAAGAAAAACGAGATGAAATACTGTCTTGTCTTTGGAATAGATGTTTGGAAGTTTCACTAGCATCTGTTGCATTAATTGTTGAATATTCATGATTATAATTTTCATTCAAAAATGAATTCATTTCTACAGTTGAGTTAACTATATTATCTGCAGTTTCATCATCAGCATCTAAATAAAACAAATCTTTTTACTTAATCAAATGGTAAAGCGAAGAACCTTCTTCGATAAAAACTGAATCATTATCGTGTGGAGAAATTGTTTTATTGATTAATTGTGAATCAGAGAATTCAGATTCATTTGACTAAAATAACAAATTAGTTTTACTTGAAAAAACTTCTTTCAGTTAATACATACTATTGAGCCAAGTTGAGAACTTTTTCGAAAACTTTGCTGACTATTTGTTTGCGGTTGGTGTGTTTCAGTTAGGTTCGATGTCTAATCAAACTAAAATTTACTTTTAAATACAGTAATTCATTCAATTTCAACCTGTGAAATTGTTACAACCCTTTCAACTCTAAACAAAATAAATAAAAATGGGGAAAACTAACAAGCTTTCTAAACTGAAAAGCTTACACAGTATAATCATTTGTTTTCAATGGCGGAGCTGACATTGATTGATAACTCGACGATGCAACAAGTAATTCTCCAATATTCCACACAAAAATACAACTAAAATTTCGATTAAAATAAGAAACAAACATAAACATTCAAAATCAATGTTACCTATCACCTGCGACCGTATAGAGATGATGTCCATCATCACTAAATTTTAAATCTGTGACAATTTCACCATGACCAAATAATGATGCAATGCATTCGGCTGTTGTTGCATCCCAAAGATAAACACATCTATTTGAACATGATGTTGCTAAACATTTTCCTGATGGATGAATATCAATTTTAATTAAATAGCTGGTACTATCACTGGCTGTATCTCTACAAGCTAGAGCTCGTTTAGCATCTTTAGTATAATAAGTTCTAAATATTAACAAGAAAACAAAATAATGTCTGCAACTTCTACAAAAAGTAGTACAATAATAACCTTATCATTCGATCATGACAAACTGTGTGTATAAATTCATGTGACGGGTCAACTGTTAAGTCATAAAATGTTTGATTTTCAAAAACATGATGTGAACGAAGAGATTGATGTTTTCCATTTTCATTCTAGGAAAGGAAAACAGAAATCATTTTTTAATAACTATTAATCCGATTATTTTGAAAATGTCTATAAACAATAAAAATGCTGAAAAATGTATTGTAGTAATAATTCCAAAGTTATGAATTTGAATCGTAATTTTATACCTTTTCTAAGTATACGATTAAGAATTCAGTTGATGTGCCTTATGTTGAACTTTCAGTACATAGTTTTCGATCATCTTAAAAAACTATCTGCTTTTGCCATTTCGTACAATAGATACTAAACCTTATGAAATTGCACTATATTCTTGCTTGTACTCAAACCAGTTCACAAGTGTATTCATGATAGATTTATTTTGATGTATAACAAAAATTTCCTCAGAGTGTGAAAGATGAAAAAATGAAAATTCAAGTATCTAATTCGTTGATATTCATATTTCAAAAGAAGACAAAGTGAACTTCTGAATTCAGCAATATTTCATTCGTTAGATCTTGCAGAATGATTGTAAATTAGATGAAAGAGAATTAATATGATGTTTGGAGTCTTAGACTTTTATGAGCTCGTAGTAGTGATGCAGATCATAACTGGTAAGTCTAGTCATTTTCGATTTGAATCAATATGACTAGACCACAGCTCAATTCTCTCTGCATTCGTATATTATCTGTGTTCATAACTGTGCATAAATCAGAACTAACTTGAACTAGATGAAGGAAACTTCTGTGTTTCTTCTGGTTTCAAGAAATAAATCTTAGTTCGACATGGATTGCATATGAATTTCTCATTCAGATACAGTTACTTCTGTCAATGAAATCACTCATAGTACATTTTATTTTCACTGAAATTTTGCTGATTCAAAAAAAGGACCTCTACGCATCTCTAATACACCAAACATCAGACATCAAAAGACAAGAAATTTACTTTCGCAATTGATCGAAATACCAATGATTTACCAGCACCACAGGAGATCAGTTGTAGATCGGAAGTTATGGGTAAATTTGTAAAACGAATAGCTGTTACAGCTCCTGAATGATCATCTAACGTTGTAATTAATTGATAATCTTTTGATATATCAAATATATGAACAAAACGATCACGACTACTTGACGCCAGAAAGATCACATCTATGTTTTTGAAATGAAAATCAAGCAAATTAGATTTTTATCTAATTAATGTATACTAACTCATATCAGTTGATTGACCATAATCAATACTAAGTACTTCATTATCATCGTGTGCTACAATAAATGCTATCTGTTTGAATGTTTTCATGTCAAATATACGAATATTTCCATTAAGATCACCAATAGTTAATGACAAGCCATCAGGAGCCATTTTCATACAACGACCTCCGAGTTTCATCGCAGATTCAGGTTTCCCTATAAGAAAACAAAGTGAGTAAAAGGAATAACATTAAGGGGGGCCCCCCCCTCAGAAACGAATTCTGTTATTTTTCATCCGATTTCAACCAAAATTTCAGAGAATGTTAGTCTAGGATAGGGGAGATTATGGTTAAAATATCTCTCCAAATCTCCAATAAACTAATGAGTTATAGTCAATTTATTGGTCAAAAGTACCTTGTACGCGGGCAAGGATTTCACAATAAGGACACAAGCTAACAAGCCCGGGTGGTTTTCAAGTTATAGAGTGCCCTTAGGGCTAGATCCTCACAAGGCCCGATTTTTGA